TAACTAACATTTTCACTTCATTATATCTTTGCTTATTTTGCTTTTTCTAATTCAAGCGCACTCAATTTCACTCTCAAATAACGGTTAAAATCTCAAAGTATGACTACCAAAGAAAAAAAAATGTTTTTTTTAAAAGAAAAAATCATATACAACTCAATTTTCTTTATGGTAAATGAATTTTTTGAAGTTTAACCTCTGATCTATGATTTATTATTAGTATAAGATAAAGAAATTTCGTTCAATTTATTCAAGTTAAATATTCAATATTTTGATAGCATTTTATGATAAATGCCAAAAAAAAAACATAAATAATAGCAATGTGACTGATTGCATTAGCATGCATTTACAGTTTGCATAACACGATGCAAACTATTCGATAATGATACATGCAATAAAATATCAATTCAGTTATGAAAGTTGAGCAAATGAAAATTTCAAATGGTGTATTATGTCAAATCAAATGTATTCAAAACATCGCTGTTTTCAAAATTTACAACTAACAGATACTTCTCCTTCTACCGAATGAACGATACACTTCCGCTCAATTAGCATAACTCCGCCAAATAACATGCTTTCATAATGCCATGTACTATTATTTGATAATGATTATATTGATCATAGTGATAGTGATATTTGCTATCAATAATAAGCAGATTAGAAGTTATTAAGAGAGTGGGATGATAAGTGGACATGGGTCATTATTTCTTGTAATGTCACTGAATTGTCCAAACAAGGTTTTTTTCTATCCTTTTTTTTTCAAAAAAAAGCTTCAGCCTCATAATAGTTGATTATTTGATGGAATCCGTTTTTCAGAATTGATAATATGATCAGTTTAGACATTAAAATTCAATGCAAAAATGACAATACCTTACTTCTATATATGTATTATGGATGCCTTTTTCTGTCATCATAATCTCCTATGAGTCTAATTTTTAATCTACTCAATACTGGTGACAAATGTCAACTATAATCAAATTGCGGAATGCATATATTAGCCGGTTTTCAACTATGGTGCTTTTTATAAATCCGGTTGATAAAATCCGATTGACAAATTAAGATTAACATAGTTTAAAATGATTGTTATGCATGATTTGAAAATTTAGATGAAGCTATTTGACACAAAATGAAACAATTGACTAAGCTTATCAGAGAATTCAAAATTTAATCATCAGTTGTTAAAAGGCTTAACACTAACCATAAATATTAATTCATAAACAACCATTTTTTCTGGTTTTGCTTCATCTTTTTTTTGGATTTTGATGATATTGTTGAGAAGAAAATAAAATGTTAGAAGTATTGAAAATTATTAAAATTGTCTTATCATTAGCGATGACTGCTTTGTTCACAATTTTTCACCAATTTTTATTTCCCTTTTAATGTCATGTCAATTTCATTCATTTATATTTCATAATTATTCTATTCATTTTAACAGAATTAAGCATTTGATGATGTGACCGCGGAAAATCTTCGCTGAAATCGTAAATCAAAAGAATTTATGGAAATTTATGGACAATTAATTCCATAAAATTTAACTTACTTTAACATATGAAGAGAAAAATCCTTGCAAATCTAACCTTTAATTTTTGATTTGTGCATTTTTTAGAATGATAATTTCAAAATGTTACTGTGCAAAATAAATTTAAATAGTTGGCTGGCATCCAAATGTTCAAAAGAAAATATTTATATTTTGAAAAGATTTTGAAACTTTACGATCAAAAAAATTTCCATAAAGCGGATGACTTGCATTAGCAGGCTTTTTATGTTATGCATGCAATCGTACGACACAATGCAATTCTATGAAAATTAATTTAATAAAGCATATTTATACTTCGCCCTTTCACTTTTTTATCCTGTCTTTTATTTAATACTTTCTTTTATTACTATTTTCTTTTAGTGTGATAGTAGTTTTTGTAAGTAAAAACAATTTCAAATAATTTAATAAAAAATTTTTTACTTGTAAACATATAAAAGATATAAATTTTAGGGGATTCTTAAATTTTAATTGTAAAATAAAGATTGAAAAAATAACATTTTAAATTGCTCAATGATTTTCAAAAGGGATGAGAATTGTTCATTTGTTCTCATTTTCTGAAATATCATAGTATGATTACAACATACCAGTTGTAAATTTATAGGGTTAACCCCAATTAATTTAATGAGATACAGATAGGGCAAGATGGAAATTGTATAGCAGATGGCACAACAGTATACAGTTGTTATCATTTGCTGCTCATTCAAACAAAGTTAGCAAACTATAATAATTGCTTAATTAATGGGTCAACTTAAGCACTTAATTTGGATCGACGTTTATACAATTGTAATGCAACTGCAAATTTTTTTTCTATGTGACATAATTATTGTATTTTCAGTATTAATATCGATAACAACAACAATGGCACTAACATTATAATGTTATTATTATCGATATTATTATTATTATTATCATTATTTATTACTGTTATTATTATTATTACTATTATTAATGATGAAAATGTTAGTAATAATAATAGTGGCAGCAGCAATGTTTGCGATAATGGTGAAAATGATAATTTATATAATATAAAGTCTATATGAATAATACATATCACATGATGAATATGCAGCAAATGAAATGAAGTTTTTATATGAGAAAAGTGAATATTTTATTTATGAAACATAGAATAAAAATAATTTCCCTTTATTAAAAATTAAAGAGAATTATATTTGTTGCATTATTCTGTCAAACAGCTTACATCAGTTAATGAAATTAAATTCGGACAGTTAATATCACAACATTTTTCGGTGTTGGATGACTGCTAATTGGAATTCAAGTTATAATAATTAACAGAATATGTTGTTGCAATAGCATTAGTTGAATAAACTCTTTGTAACTAATAAATTTTAATATGATGGTATGCTGACTTTATTTATGCTTTGAAAAACGGAAAATTTCTGGATTCAATTTTTATGCTGGAATGGAGGAATTTCGGTTATCAGTTTCATGTTGTGTTGTCTTGAAAAATAACATATTTTTTTTATTATTACAGCGATTTAAGAGAAAGTATTTAAAAGTTTTTATTAAAAAGGCTGTTAAAGAAATAGAATTAGTATTATTTATCAGTATGGAAGGAGCAATTTGTTCTGAATTTTTAAAACTTTCTAGAATTTAAAAAAAGAGACCACATTTGAAAGATATTTGAATGGTAATTTTAATGGTGCTAACTTTTATGCTAAAACGATTTTTTGAATCGTTTAATCCAGCAAATGAAATGTTTTTCAGTTTTAACTTATACTCAGTAATACATTGTGTGTCACCTTCAAAATCACTCAATTGATCAGATCGGAATGTATTATTTACTTCAACTCTACTTCTTTCAACCACTATGAGATATGATCGAAAGTTGATCAATTTATTATATTATCAGGAACAATTACGCCCACCAAATTACTTTTAGTAGGAATGTGATCTGAACTTATCTGAATTTGAATTTGAACTTTATCGATTTAAACTCTTTTTATTCAGCAGTATTCCAAAATTGCAATTTTATCCGATATCCTGGTTTGATCTCCGTTAACCCGAACCAACTATTAGGTCATAAATTTTCGCACAATTTTACTCTGCAAACTGGATTTCCTCATTATATATATGTATATATTTGAAATTGTTGAACTCGTCGTATTTTTAATTTTAACAATAATTAAATTGAATTAATTTTTAATCCAAATATGAACAAAATTTATTTGTAAGTTTTCATTGTCTTTTTTTACTACACCAGTGCATACTTACTTTTTCAAATCTTTATGCATTTTTTTAAAATTGATATATTAATTTCGTAATAGTCAAATTTCGTCCCGTAAATTGAATTCATACTGTGATCGACCATATTATGCAGAACTTAAAAGAATTGATCCTAATTTTGATTGTGAATCATTTTAATTCAAATTTTTTACACTAACAATTAGAAATATTTACATTAGTTAAAATCGAAGGATGTCATCAATAATAGTTCATCATGAAGCAATTACAATTACAACAACTTTTGCCATCATTATTATATATACCAATTTGGTTGCTTGTATAGATTTTTCGAAAGTTGTTAATTGGGGTAATTTTTATAAATTTTCCTCTTTTTTTCTTTTTTCCAAATTGTTCGGCCTTCTTTGAATTTGCTTATTTTATTGCATAAAATAAATTTGAAATGTACAAATATAAATAAATGAATTTTCAGAAAAGCGTACACTAACATGTTTTGGTAATGATATTCAAAATGGAGCTAATTATGGAGCAAAATGCAAATTAACAATTGCTGATAGCTCGAAACTTCTCGAAACCGAATGTTTTGATGAAAAATATATGGCAGAATTATTTGGTGAAACAAGAAAAAGTAAATTTTTAATTATGTTTGTTCTATTTCCAACAATAATGTTAATATAACGAAAATTTAAAAGAAGTTTGAGAATTTTTGAAATCAAATTTGAAAATTCTTTCATCATTACACAATACGAATAATAAAAAAAGCTTGAATCTGATAAGTTCGTAATAAATGCATGCAAGTGGCAAAAAAAGAATTAGCGAGGTGCTATTGTTAAGCGATGTTAGAAATAAATTAAAATTAAAATAATTAAACCTAAAAGTTGCTAAGAGAAAATATGTCTCGAAAATTTAAAATGAAGAGAAGAGGGTAATTTTGTAAAATGTTTATTTGCTTGTTTGTTCGTTTGTTTATTTCTCTGTTCAATTGGAATAATTGAATATATAATATTTCTAAGAAATCAGCAAATAAGATCCGTATCTGGAATTTTTGTCCTGATTACATCGGGAAATTGAATACCAAACAAGTAGATCAAAGTGCATGAAACATAAATAAACAAAATTAAAATCTTATAATAATTTCCCGGTGGTGTCTCGTCATTAATAACAGTTTTAAATAAGATTGAATATATCATTTTTTTGGATATTGTTTGGATTTCAAATGATCAAATTAATCTGATATTTCAAATATTTCAAGAAATATTATTTAAAAAAATATTACCTTTCTTAAGTTCATATTTCGAAAAATAATCATTTCAAATGAACAGATAATATTTTCTTATTAAATGATGCTCAAATATTTAATTTTATATGAGAAAATGTGATTTTAGATAATAATAGAATTTCACCAAATATTCATATTCGAACTGTTTGCAATATACAATGCAAAGGCGCTGATCGTGATTCCGTTATTTCGAAAATTCCAAATTCAATTCATGAATGTGTCCGATGGCATAATTATAATACTTTAAGAAAAGGTACTTATTTTCATTTGAATTTTAAAATTCTTTGTTATATCGTTTTTAATTACATATGAAGCTGTAATTTTAGTAAACATTTTAAGTAAAACATAGAAAAAAGAAGTGAGAAAGAAATGAATGAAAGCTCCAAAATTTTCGTAATTTCTTACCACGAAATTACCTAGTATTTTTATTTCAATTTCAAAATATACCAGACATTACAATTGAATTTTATTTCACCCTAATTTTTTGTTTCTTATAACATTCTAAATTTAGTTTAAAGTTTAATTTAGTTTAACTTTTTTTATAAACTAATGACTAGCAGTTGAAATTGTAGCATCTAAATATGGCAATAATTAAAGGTCACAATTGGCAACAATTCATTCAACTAAATTTGATATAAAATTAAATTAAACCTTGGTTTTGTTGGCATTGTTTTTCTAATATTTCAAAAATTACGTCATTCAAATTTCATTAATTAATTCCTTATAGCTTTTACCCATATAATTACTTCTTACACAATGACAAATATATTTATGATTATTGCTATCATTTATCTGATATCACATTAGAATATTTCTATTCAATTGCTTGATATTATATTTCCCTATTTCTGGCAAATATTTTTTACCATATTTTAACCTAATGTATATAAATTTTTATTTTATTTTCTTCAGATGATCAGTGGTATATGTGGAGATCAGGCAAATGTCGTAATGTTACGATAACATTTGAAGTACATTGTGGTTTCCCAACACACAATCCAAATGATGTCAATATTTTGGCGCAAAATAATATTAGCCTTTCAACGAGAATACATTTATAATATAATTAAATTTCAATACCAAAAAGCAACACTTTTTAAATTTTTGACCAATCATCCTTCTATGACAAAATTAAATGACGACTTGAGTTGACCCAATGAATAAACTGCATAGAATTTGTATAGGATAGTACGGAAAAAAGTAATCGTTTCTGACAACATATTTTATTTAATTAGGTTGATACAAGGAAAAAAGCAAGCAAGAAACAAGAAATTCTTTCGTTTATGAATTTTCAATTTCGAATTATTAATAAAAATAATATGAATCATTATAAAATTATATAATTATCATACCTGAGTATATGTATAATTTTTTATTAATCAAAATATAATAATCATTAGATCAATGGTATAATAATTGTGTAATATATTAATGATTAAGTTAGCAAAAAAAAGTTTTTTTTTTCTTATCAACCTAAATGGAAAAAGAGAGATTGAGATCGATAGCAATAATACAATTGTAGTGGATATTTGTAAACAACAGTATAATATGCATGAAAAATAATTGTTGTAGCACCACCTAATGAATGTAACAATTATTAATTTGATAATCTAATAATTAGAAATAATGCAATAATTTAAAACAGAAAATTAGGAATTAAAAATGAGAAGTAATTCGTTTCCTTTCAAATAATAGTACTGCAGTTATCGATAATTGATAAAACGAAATTTGTTCTTTCCACAACACATTGCAGATTCTTAAACAAATCGTCTTAGAAATTGACAAAAGCTTTTTTGTAAATAAATGAAATAAAAAGTATCGAAAAAGAAAGAAAGAATGGTGCATATTGTATGATTAAATAAAAAAAAGAGCGAAAAGATAAAGTTTTAGAAGAAAATGATTAATGATAATTTCAAATGTAATATTTGAGCCATAGAAATATCAGCTATTGATTGATATTCATTTCAAAAATAAAAAATAAAAAAACTTTAAAACGAAGTACCAATCATTTTAATTGTTACCACAAAAAGCAATTAATTAGTTGAGTTTGATGAGAAGCAAACTAGTCTCAAGGAGAAAAAAATATAAGTTGGAATGATTTTGATTTTTTCTGTGCTTTCTTTTCCTTTTTTTTTTTTTTGGTTTTGACTAGCGATTGTAATATGATTTTGTTGTGTTATTAGATGCATGCAACATACTGAACTGCATTTGCATGCATATCACGCAATGTAAAATTGTAGATTTCGAAAATTTAATGAGATAAAAAAGAATTTGAGGGAAATCGATAATGCAGTTGTATCAAATTGATGAGCTTGAACAACATCAACATACAATTCATTAAAAAAATGAAAATAAAAATCCAAAAAAAAAATCTCGCGATATTTGACAAGAAATGTTAAATTAATACTATCAATGATGAATGCATTATCGGTAATATGTCAAATA